TTTTGAGGGGCCTGGGGGACACATATTCACAATTCCTTCAAGATGGCAGAGCAAGTTGATATGGTAGTTCAGAAAGCATATGAGATTACTTGGCTTTGCAAATTGAGGCACTGAATACTAGAAGGAAAAGTCATGTTAAACATTCACAAATCATTTGTTCGACCTCCGGTAAAATAAAAAGAGAAACTTTAGTTTACTTAACACGTCTTGTGACCACAGGATTATCCCAAAGCTCTTCACAGCCACTGAAATACAGTTACAAGTTTACTGTAAGAAATAGCAACCAGTTTTCACACAGCAAACTCTTACAAACAACAGTGTATTAATGACCAGACCCTTTTGATTTTAAGTGAGATGGGGAACACATTGGCTGAAACACCAAAGCCAACCTCCCTACTATCCTTCACAGTAGGATTGTATAATGGGAACCTTTGTGTCAAATGGGCAGTGTCAGAAAAAAAAGTTGGGTGATGGGTGCTTCTGTATAAATTTCCCCCTACACACTTTCTGCCCACTTTAAACTTTTCCCCCCTCAATCATGCATGTTATTTCCCCTCTTCCAGGACTCACCTATCAATTTAATTTAAGCTCTTCAAACTCAATCATAGACTCCACAAATTGCAAATGTTTACCACTTTTACTTATCCATTCTTGATGTCGTGCTGAGAAACTACTTCGACATAGAGTGTAAAGAGACAAACTGAAATTGCATAATTTTCAATATTTGAGAATAAAGGAGTGATATCAGGATAAAAATTAGCAATTGAAATAAAAGGGAATCTAAAGTTATCTTTCATGGCAGCAAACAAAATGATCCATCTTGGCCACCTCCTGAGGTGCCCAGTCTCTCAAATGCCAGTCTTCAACCAATTCTATTCACCACATGATAACAAGAAACTGTTGGAGGCAGTGGATATAAAAAGGCTATGGACACTGTCAACTTTCGGGAATAGAATTGAAGACTTGTGGTTCAGAATTTCCCGTATGCCCTGGAAAACTTGCAGTACAGCTACAACACTGGCATCTAACCCACAATGAGGAAAATTGCCAAGGTATGTCCTGTACACAAGAAGCAGGACAAATTCAACCCAGAAAAGTACTGCCCTATTATGTTTAATTGCCAGCAAAATATTGGAAACGATCATCAATGATGCTATCAAATGACACTTGCCCAGCAATAACCTGCTCATTGAGATTCAGTTTCAGTTTCGCTGGGCCCACTCAGCTCCTGAAATCATTGGTTCAACAGGGACAAAAACATCATAAACTCAAGGGGGAAGTGAGAGTGACAATGCTTGACAACAATGCAGCATGTGGCTGAGAATGGTATTGAGTAGCCCAAACAAAACTGAATTCAATGGGAATTAGAAAATGTTCTCAGGTGGTTGGAGTCATACCTAGTTGTAACAAAATAGTTATTGTCAGAGGTCAATCATCTTAGCTGCTGAACACTGCCTAGGTCTAACCATCTTCAGTTGCTTCTTCATAATGTCACGGGGATATTCATGAATGACTACAATGTTAAGCACCATTTGTAATTCTTTAAATACTGAAGCAATCCATAAACAGCAAGACCTGTTGAACATTCAGTCTTGGGCATGTAACCTTAAGTCCCAGAAATGCCAGGCAACAACAACCATTTTTAATTCATCAATGGGATGAGTGCATCACTGGCTAGGCCAGCATTTATTGTCCACCCCTAATTACCCAGAGACTAGTTGCACATTAACCACGTTGCTGCGGGTCCAGAATCACAAGTAGGCCAGACTCGGTAAGGATGGCAGACTTCCTTCCCAAAAGGGCATTATAAACCAAGGGGGTTTTTACAACATTGTCAACAGTTTCATGGTCATCCTCAGATTTTTTTAAAAATTGAAATCAAGGTCTGCTATGGTGGGATTTGAACCCAGGTCCCCAGAAAATGGGCTAGATCACTGGATTAATAGACTTGTGATAATACCACTATGCCATCACCTCTCTTGACCATCTTCAACAAAATAGAATCTAATCATCTCCTCTCAACATTTCTGAATCCTCCACTATTAATATCTTGATTATTACCATTGGGCAGAAACTGAAGAGACCAGCCTATTAAACATTGCAGCTACAACAGCAGGTCAGAGGCTCAGAATTCTGTGGCCACTGATGCACCCCCTGCCATCTCAAAGCCTTTTCACTACCTACAAAACCCAAGTCAGGGCTGTCATGGAATACCATCCATTTGCTCCAATGAGACACTAGCAACTCAATATCATGCAGGATCTACAACTCATCAATATCCTTACAAAAGTACCTTCAAAATGCATGACCTCTACCATCTGAAAGGTCAAGGACAGCAGATGCATGAGAGAACCATCACCTGCAAGTTACTTTCAAGCCAACACCATCCTGACTCGGAATTATATCACTGTTCCTTTAGGTGTGCTGCATCGTAATCCTCAAACTCTTTCTAAAAGCTCTGAGTGGCCCTACACGATACAGATTGCAATAGTTCAAGGAAGTGCTCATCACCACTTTATCAGGGATGCCTCTACAGCATCCTACTTGTCTGATTCTAACCCCATCTTATCAGAACAACACTCAGCACATACCTGCTGAAAGATCAGCATCATTGGCACCCACACCATAATTAAAAGGCTGCTCTGCACTCAGATGTGCACTGGCATTCTGAAGCTGTCCTGCTCCGTGATGGACATTCAGTCAGAAGATGTCTGAGAGGTGAATGCTGCACGATTACTTGACAGGGACCTGGTACAAAGGAGGGGGAGACCTCTTCTGGGAGGACTGGCTAAAGAGAGCAAGCTACCAGACCCTGGCAGCTTAGTCCAAGGGTGACATCCAGGCCATGGCTATCTCCATGGGCTAGAGGAACTGCCAGCAACACTGCAAAAGGGTCAGTGACCTTCTGCGTTCTGCCAGCCACAGGGATCACCAAGCATTAGGGAGCCCGCATGTCTGCATCCTCTATGCTGCATGGATCTACTTTTCATTTCATCACAAGATGTGACGAGGGATTACTGTTGACCAGAACTGAACTGGACTAGCCGCATATATACAGTGGCTACAAGAGTAGGTCAGAGGCTAGGAATACTGTCACGAGTAAATCACGGAGTGACTCCCCAAAGACTGTCCACTGTCTACAAGGAATAAATGAGGAGTGTGATGGAATACACCCCACTTGCTTGGATGAGGGCAGTTTCAACAACATTCAAGAAGCTTGATAGCATCCAGGGCAAAACAGCCCGCTTGATTGGCACCACATCCATTCCCTTCCAGCAGTATACTATACTGGAGATACTTGCCAAAGATTCTTAGACAGCACCTTCCAAATCCATGATCGCTTCCACCTAGAGGATACATGGGAACACCGCTTCCTGCAAGTTTTTCTCCAAACCACTCATCATCCTGCCTTGGAAATATACCGCTGTTCCTTGTTTGTCACTGAGCCAAAGTCCTGGAATTCCCTCTGTAACAGCATTGTGGTTCCACTTGCAGCACATGGACTGCAGTGGATCAAAAAGGCAGCTTAGCACCACCTTCTCAAGTGGAGCTAGGGACGGGCCAGCATTGTCGATCACATATGCTGCAGGCAAAGATACCCCGGGCATGGTATATTGGTGAAACGATGTAGACAATACGTCAATGGATGAATGGACACCACACAACAATTGCCAGACAGGGATGTTCCTCCCAGCGAGGGAACACTTCAGTGGTCAAGGGCATTCGGCCTCGGATCTTCGAGTAAACATCTTTCAAGATGGACTTCAGGATACATAACAACAGTGTTGCCAAGCAGAGGCTGATAGCCATGTTTGGTACTCGTGAGGACGACTTGAACCGTGATCTTGGGTTGATGTCGCACTGCAGGTGACCCCACCACACTATATACTCACAGACACATGCACACATACACGCACACACATACATATATATCTATGGGATGAATTTGCCTTTGCAGAATTGTATTTGCAGTTACATTCTATTTTGTTCAAAAAGCACACAATTTATAGACATGGACAGTCAATGGGGCATTTTGTAAATTCCTGCTTTGGAAACAAAATCAGTCCGACTCCAGGTTAAAACATAGATAGATTCTAAACAAGGCCTCACCCCTAAAATGCATTGTCTGACCTGAGATGTTACCTCTTGTATACACTGATAAAACCTTTAGTTATCTTGGGGCAGTGACTTGAAAGAAATTCTGGGATATGCATTTTAATTAAACAAAATCTGCATCTCCTTTCTAACTGAGTAAAGATTTAATAGGAGGGAGTCAGCCAGCCGTTTTAGGTTTATTCAATACATTTGCATCAGTTGTATAATCTTTTACTTACAAATTCTTTGTCTTGATGCCTCTCTCACTACACCTGATGAAGGAGCAATGCTCCAAAAGCAAGTGTTTTCAAATAAACCTGTTGGACTATAACTTGGTGTCGTGTGATTTTTGACTTTTGTCCAGGCCAGCGCAACACCGGCACCTCCAAATCAGGCAACGAATGCTGGTATAGTCAAGAACACCTATGTCCAATGGATGAAATAAAAACAATACGTTTACACAAAATGTTAGTAAGATCTCAATTGGAGTGCAGTATGCAGTAATCAGCAAGACACTTTAGGGGAGTGCATTGAGGTTTTGAAGATAGTTTAATATATACTCAAACTCCCTCCAAAAGTGTCATCCAAATTGAGGGTTTCTAAGACGTTCAGTACTTAAATGTGTAATGTATATTATCACATGTAAAGTATATTCAAGGATATATCATATGTTTAAAATAGCTCAAGGATTCTTTCGCCACACAGCAGCTGTTGTCAGTACTTCTGCTGATGTCTAAGGCCGGAGCCAGCTGGCACCATGGAAAAGTAACCTCGGGAGACCTACACTCGGCCAGCCTATAGCGTGGCGGCGAATAACAAAAAACCCCCGCAAAAAGGGTCGGTCGGCCAACACGAGGTGAGGCTCTGCGGGGCGAGGCGCAGCTACAGGGAGCGGCGAATCTTAACCGGTTGTGAGGCAGGAGTGAAAAAATAAAATCAAAGTCTGAGGTCAGCATGGCTCAGTTTTCAACCATGAAAAACCAGGAGGGAAGAGAGTAGACATTACCAAATGGACGGGTTTGTGACCTTGACTGGCGTGGGGGTCGGGGTTTATGTCTGAGCGACGGGGAGGAGGCGGGGTTTCTGTCCGTCTGACGGGTAGGGGGCGGGGCTTGTGTCCGATCGACTGAAGGGGCGGGGCTTGTGTCTGAATGACGCGGAGGGGTGGGGTTTGTGTCCGTGCTGCGGGGAGGGGGCAGGGTTCGTGTCTGTGTGACTTGA